CCCGGTGCTCCGTCCTGCACCGCTTAACACCCGCCGCCCGTCGGACCTTCCGAATTTAATTGCAGAGCGACTCGCAGAATTTCACTGTGGTGTTGCTTGTGGTTTAGAAAAAAAAAAACGTTAAGAAGGCATGATAGTTGACTAGAAAGCTTTATCGGTTCAGATTCGTGCAAATCTTGTAGAGAAACCAGGTGTTTCGCTTTAAAAATGCGTGTTGAAATCACGAGATGTTGTAGGAATGGGTAGGAGGCAGTATTTTAACCTATTTTTCCCTTTTGTTTCTACTTTTGAATTTTTTATCAGCACATCAAAATACATATTCTGTCAGACTTCACTGTGTTAAGTTGGTAATGTTAAGAAGTACTGAATTTGAGGATTATTTTCCTTGTGTAAGGAGTAGCAAGACTGGAACCTTAATTTAGAAGTATGACAGGATAATGAATTACAGGGATTTTAGATTAAGACTTCCTTTTCAACAGAATACAGCAGCATCTTCCGGTTTGCTGTAACTTAAATGCTCACTTTTAAGTCTGTTGAGTACTAACTGAAGCTGACATTCACAGCCATCCATGCAGTGGGATTGTTAACTAAAAATAGAGGGAAATAACAAAAATATGGTTGGATCCAGCGAAGGTGCTCAGGTGGCTTGACTTGTCAGTTCTCTACCAGAGTGAATCAAAGTAGTTATTTTTACGAAGGGAGTTTCGTTTCTTACAACTGAGAGTGCAGCAGAGATAACTACTAGTATTTTAGTTGCTCAGCTCTTATATTTTTATTATGTGTTTTGTTTAAGCATTCAGTAAAGAAAAAGACAAAGAGAAGAAGTTAGACGATGACAGCACCAGTACCACAGTCCCTCAGTCAGCTTTCTTGGGCCCAACATTATGGGACAAGACACTGCCGTACGATGGAGACACTTTCCAGTTGGAATACATGGACCTGGAAGAATTCCTCTCAGAAAATGGCATTCCACCCAGCCCAAACCAGCATGAGCATAGCCCACACCAGCCAGGTCTCCAGCAAGCTACCTCAGCATCACCTTCTGTCATGGACCTCAGCAGCAGGGCTTCTACTTCAGTCCATCCAGGCATGGTGTCGCAGAACTGCATGCAGAGCCCGGTCAGACCAGGTAAATCAGACCTAAGAACTTCCTATGGATTTTGGCATGAGCCCTCCTCCCCGGTGTGGATAATTACTTCCCCCCCTGTATGGTTGACAGGCAGCTTATGATATGATTCAAGTCACTCACACTCCAAAAAACAATAGCTCTACTTATTGCTAAGGTACTCCACAGGGATTTTTGTTTAAATTATGTTAGGAAACTGGGAGTTCCAAGGAGACTTGCTTATCTTCTTTTCTTCATTGATAGCCTAGCTATTAGCAAGTAAAAAGACCACAAACAGAATAGCGATGTGTAGATGCTGGGATGTTAAATGAACAGGGAGGACCATGAAAGAGAGTATGCCTTTGGCCCATGTTTGGTGTGAGAACACAGAAGTGGGAAATTACTTTGAAGTTAAAACTTAAAGACGATGCTTCCTGTTTGAAATTTTGGCCGTAATCTTATTCTCTGTTGAGCAAAGTAAAATTTGCCACAGTACATGGGGTAGGAACAAAATTTTTGCGATTATAATCTTTCTTAAATTGGCATAAACTGAGTGTAACTCTGACCTGATGTGATAAATTACACCTATAGTCACCTTAAGCTGTAGGAAAAGAAAACATCATGGAGTCCAAGTTCTGATTGTAATGCATGATTCAAACCCGTTTGATGTCAGTGGAAGTCTTCTGTTAGCTTATTAGCACTTGAAATCATCCCTTTAGAGACACTAATACGAATCCAGAATAACTGCTCTGGCTTGACACCAGCATGTCTGAGATCATGGTCAGTGGAATAGTGTCCATATTGAAGTCTGGAAAACATGGAGCTTTGCCTTTTTTCCCTAAAAAAAAGTCCCAAAACCAAACCAAAACAAACCCAACAAAAAAAAACATCCCAAAAGAGACTTATTTATTGTGCTCTTCTGCTCACACAAGGTTTGCTAGAGCAAAGTGTGCTCTTGGGAGCAGGAAACCACTCCTGTCCCTTCTGCTTGATCGTTTGCCATGCTCAGCGTGTGAAGTCATTGTCAGAATCATCTGACAAGGAGGCAAAATAAATAAATAGAAGGACAAAAGTTGTGGAGCAGAATGAAATAGAAAAGTCTTACAAACATGCAGAATTTTTTTTCCTCATTAAAAAGAAATAAAACACCCCCCAAAACACCCCAAACCTGTCAACAGACTTTTTGGCCCCAAGTCAGAAGTGTGTGTTTAGTCGTAAATTTCGTTTACGTACTTCGGCTTTATGTGAATTTGACTTTGTTTTGTGTTTCAGTTTCAAGGCGTTTCAGAGTTAACTAATAACTTATAAGGGCTTCCAAACTTACAATGTGTTTGGAGTTGGCAAGAGCAGAATGTAAAAACCCCTTGCTTTTTCTGAGCCATTTTTTAAAAATAGTGCATGTATGCTGCACCGTTTTCTGTTGCATTTGCAGGCATAAAATTAAAAGCAGATAATCTGTCCTCGTTCTTTTTTCAGAGGAGCCTGGTTGTGAGCCAGGCCTTTAACGATCACCTGTCAGAATTTATTCGTAATCAGCTGTCCATCTGACTTTTCAACTCATTGATTTTTTTTTTTTATTTTTGTTTTTTTAGTTTTTCCTCAGCTGTTTGCAGCTCAGGATGACAAACTTTTCTCATTAGAAACTCTGTACGCTTTTTTTACTTTTGCAAAAGAAGTCATGTCTCTTGGGGTAGGATGAAACATTTAAAGTTGCAGGTGTGTTTTCCGCCTGCCATCTTGCTTTAAGAATAATATATCTTTTTTGTTAAATGTGTTTTTTAAAAGAGAGCTAATTCCATTTCTAAAAGTAATAATTTCTTTTTTCCGCCTTAGTACAGATAGATACTATGGCTTAATTAACTGTAGTCTGTTTTATCATCAGATTGTTGAAATTTTTGTGTAGTCATGTAAAAAAAAAATCTTACTTTGACAATCTGTTTTGAAGAGAAGGTAATCTTAGAGTTTAGCACTAGAACAAGCTTTAAAATAAGACAGCATATAGTTAAAAAACCGAATTTTTAGTAAAAGTAAAACCAAGCATTTAAGGTTGTCATAAAAATGCAAAGGCAGATGTGCTGCTTTGAAATATAAAAGTCTAGAGGTAGATGTTAAAATCATTATAATGAAACCTTTTGGTTAATATATCTTAAGTTAAAATCATTATAATGAAACCTTTTGGTTAATATATCTTAAGTTAAAATCATTATAATGAAACCTTTTGGTTAATATATCTTAAGTCTTTTAAAATATATTTTTTAAACTGTACATGAAGAAAGGTTTTCTTAATTGGTGTGAGCTACTGTTCCAGTATGCCTGGCTGTTGTGATTTGTATTATTGTAATAAACCCAAGAACACATAGTATAAAGTATAAAATTTCAATAAAAATTAATTCCATGTGATCTTATTTTTAGGAAAACTGAATGGGACTCGTGTACGTACATGGTGCATCTCAAACATAGATAAGAGTGGCATAAGATTTAATTTCGTTCATGTATTGAAATACAAGCCTTATCTGTCTTTAGAAGCTAATGATATTGCCCAAATATGTATTTTATACTATCTCTGGAAGAGATCTGGAAATCTGCACTGGCATTCACTGGGAAGTGTCATCAGGCGCAGCAAAGCTGAGCTGACCCTGACTATAAACATGACATTGCAAAATCCTCACTTTTTTTTTTTCTTAAAGGTAAAAGAATAACAATAACAGCAAACAGTTTTTGTATAAATTTCACCTAAATCTGTATTTTCAGCTCACATTGTCTGGTCGATTGAAAAACATTTAGGCTCACGAGTTTATCATCTGTTCTCTGGACTACAGCAAAGAATAAAGCAAGCACCTACTTCCCCATAAATTCCTGTTTGGGGAACGTACGTATGGCAAATACTGGTTTTCTTTTGAAGAGGAGGGACAGAGTAATGGCTGTTGCGAGGTTGGAATCGGATGTATTTCATTTTCACAGTGCCAATCTTGTTAATAAAAAATAGTATTTTGATTTATTTTAGCGTTGCAGACCACCATGCGTTGTAACATGTAGACGCGTTTAAAACTTGTTTTCTCTCTCTGTGTCGGATGCTGATTAGTTAGTTGAAATCTGTAGCCTCCCTCAGAAAAAGAGGTTTTATCAAGCTAGCTTTTAAAGTAGCCTGTTACTGCAAACACCTTTTCGTGGTTCTGCATCTGTTGTGTCTTTTGTCAGGTTTTTGGTGGAATGTAAATCTCCCTTTAACTGCGGAGTGCTTTAAGGAAATTGGGAGTGTTTGTAGCTGTTTGTATGCAAAGGGAGGTTCATATCTTGCAGGTAACTACTTGGTGGTTGCTTTTATCTTCTTTCCTGCGAACCCCTTATTTGGGTGAATGGGGCAACTACTGTAAAGGGTTTGAACAGAGTGAATTAGAGTTCAGAAGCGTCAGCTGTCTTATGGAAGACCCTGATTAGAAAGTTTTGGGGATTTTGTGGTTTAGATCCAAATTTTCTCTTTGCCATCAAAGCCTTGGATGTAGGTCTATGTAAGGGGGATGCTGCTGACACAGGGAAAGCCCAGGTTTTGTCGCTGCCCTACTCCTTAAGGAGCATAGCGCTGTCGGAGGCTTTGAAAAACTCCCTCATTCTTTGTGTCCCTGTGACAGTGGTTTTCAGTCTGTGTTGCCTGGATGGTTGGGTGCCTTAGACTACTTGCAAAGGATGTGCCAAAGATTATTTAAGGAAAGGAAAAAAGGAAAAACAAGCTTGGTAATCTGCTGCAGAAATACACGAGTGTGCAATATCTACAAGTCTTCACTTTCAGTTTAAAAAAAAAAAAAAGATTTAGGGGTACATCAAACGGAAACAGCTT